GTAGGAGTAGGAGTCGTCGTCGTCGTCGTAGTAGTAGTAGGAGGAGGAGGAGGAGGAGGAGGAGGAGGAGGAGGATGAGGAGGAGGACTTAACGCGGAAAACTACTAATGCACTACGACTAGTACTACTAGTATGTTTATTACTATGAATACGGCTACTACAACTCCAACTACTCTTCCTTCACCAGTTGTGCCGTAGATGTGTTTGGCGTGTCGCCTTCCGAGCCAGATGAGCTACGGCCTTGAGACGAAGTATTCCGACGGCCTGGCTCTCAGACATCCTTGGGCTTGACTCCTGCATCTCTGTGCAGGTGCTGCAAGGATCAAGAACCTTTATGTAGCTGACGCAGAAAATGGACCTCAAGGAATGAAGGACTAACTTTTGATCGGTCCCGTCATCACGGCAGCGGCCCCGAACATGTTTCACAAACGCGCTAGAGAAAGCAGAAGCGTGCCATTCACTTACATGAAGGCGAATGCATGCCAGTAACAGCTACACAGTCACAAAGGCATCAGAATGACAAAAGCGGGCCCCCCCCCCCCCCCCCCCAGCCCCCTTTCTGAGATGCGAGAGCTTGTTGAGCTGTGAGGCCGGACTCCCCTCGCAGTCTGCGCCATGGCTGGGAAGCTGGACTGCGTGACTTGGTAGCCCAGTGGTACCCTTGACCCTTTTTTTTTGGGTTCTGGGTTCTCTTGGGAAGTAAAAGCCCTAAGCCTAAACCCTAAACCCTAAACCCCAAACCCTAAACCCGAAACCCTAAACCCTAAACCCGAAACCCTAAATCCTAAACCCTAAACCCTTATTATAGGATGGTTTCTGGGCTACCAAGGTGAAGGCGCTGCTGGAGGCCAACGCCAAGCAGAGGTCGGCGCGGGAAGTCCTGGAGCAGAGAGATGAGCAGGGCGAGAGCCCCAAGGATCCTCTACGCCCAATTGTGAGGGGTCGTCTGCCTCATATGATGTATATATGCCCTATGTATGCCATACTGCCATATATGCCCTATGCATCTATGTCCTATATATGCCCCTTTAGAAATCCGTCATTGAAGGTCGGCTGCGAGTGTGGCTCTCCTAATGTGCCCTCGAGTCTTATGAAGCCCTGTGAAAAGTCTTGCGAAGCCCCTGATGTTCATGGCAGCCTTAATAGAGGTACTAGCATCCCTATTCAGGACTGTTGGTATAAGGGGGAGCCTCCCAAGCTCTAAGCTCTACGCTCGGGGAGCCGAGGCCGCACCAGGCTGCACCTGGCAGCTTTCGAGGGGAAGTGCGATGAAGTGCGGGCAATGATCGAGGCTGGCGTGCAGAAGGCCGCCCCGAGGGAGCAACGTTTGGGATTGTTGGACAGTGTCTCTCACGATGTCTCAGGG